CAATGCAAGCATGCAGGTATATATATATAGATCACAGTACAGGCAAAGTCTACAGCAAGTGAGGAAAAGTGGGCACAAGCCCTAACAAAGTGCAGAAACGCTGATTATCACCAGCCTGAAGAGCCTTGGTAAATATATCAGCAGTGTTGGCCTGAGTGGCCACGTAACGCAGACGAAGCTGACCATGCTGCTGCAAGTCTCGAGCAAGGAAGTAACGTAGAGCGATATGCTTCATTCTATGCTCCAGTCTGTGCTCCTCACACAAGGCAATGGCAGCCTTGTTGTCAACGTAAAGCACTGGAGGAGAACGAGGCTGCTCTCCCAGGTCGATCAGCAGGTAGGTGAGCCAGCGTAACTCCTGTGCAGCCATGGCTGTGGCGTAGATCTCAGCCTCACAACTGGAGCTGAGAACTGAAGACGAACGCGTAGAACGCCACGAAACTGAGCCAGAGCCAAGACTGAAGGTGTAACCCTGTGACGACCGCTGAGTAGCCTGGTCGTCAACCCAAGAAGCGTATGAGTGCCCACTGAGAACAACTGAGCTCCTCCCTCCAAGCACGAGCCCCATGCCCGACGTACTGCACAAGTAGCGCAATACCCTCTCATCCCAATGCACCTTTCGGTGCCTACTAGGAGCCACGTAGCGGGCCAGAAGGCCAAGAGGGTACGCTAGGTCAGGACGAGTGCAAGTCATTAGGTACATGAGGCAGCCAACTAGCTCTGGGTAAGGACCACTCGGCTCTACAGACTCATCCGAAGGCAGAGCTGAGAGCGAGTGACCTGTAGCCATAGGAGTAGTCTGTGCTGAGGACCAGGTGAAGTCGAAGCGCTGAAGGACCTGCTGCACCATGTGTGACTGAGTCAGTGTGATGGTGCGGCGTGCTCTGTCCCGGGTGATCTGCAAGCCAAGGTAGCTGCGCAGTTCACCCAGGTCTGTGCACGTGTGTCTCTTTTGCAGCTCCGACTTCACGTGGGCGAGAGCCTCAGTGTCAGCAGTGGCAAAGACCAAGTCGTCGACGTACACGAGGATGTAGAACGGCGGCAGCAAAGTGTCGGTGCGCAGAAACAGCGACGGGTCAGTAGTAGAAGGCGCGAACCCAAGAGCCACAAGAGTAGTCCTCAGTGTGTCGTGCCACTCACGTGGCGCCTGGCGGAGACCGTAGACCGGCCGCTAGAGGCTCTACAAGGTACCAGGAGGAAAAGACCCAGTGAAGCCAGGAGGGCAGCGCAACCAGATCTCCTCGTGCAAGCTGCCCTGCAAGAAAGCAGTGCTGAAGTCAAGAGAGTGAAGCTCGTAGTCACGCTGAGCGGCAACGTGCAGTAGCACCAGAAGAGTGGTCATCTTCGGGGTGGAGGAGAAGGTCTGAAAGCAGTCTACTCCCTCTCGCTGACTGAAGCCTCGAGCAACGTAACGAGCCTTGAAGACAGGCGGAGAACCTGGCGGCCGCTTCACCCTGAAAATCCACATGCCACTAACGATGTTCGCCCCAGGAGGGGGGACCTCGTCGACGTAAGTGCCACTGGACTTCAAGGATGCCATCTCTGCGTCCATAGCTGACAGCCACTAAGAGGAGTACTCACCCGCGATCACCTCAGCGTAAGAGCGCGGGGTCGGGATGTCTGGAGCATCCGGGTCTCCCTCAGGGGCAAGCAGCATGGACACGAGATGAGGCGCAGCGGCTGCAAGACACTCAAGGTCCTCCTGTCTGTCCTCAAGGACGTCCGTGCCTAGAGCACACTCACACCCAACGGACGGAGGACAGACAGACTTAGACTCAGCAACAAGACTCCCGGCGTAGTCTAGGCGACAGCGAGCAGCAAAGTCGACAAGCTCAGCAACTAGGGCAGACGCAGCAGCAGACTCAAAGGAAGGGTCAGTGACAGCAGTGGCCAGGAGACGAGTGATAGTAGGACTGGTAGCACGAAGAGATTCAGACTCTGGGTCAGCAAGGGCAGGAAGAGAGGACGCAGGAGGAGAACGCAGAGGGACACGCTGCGGAGCAGTGGAAAGACGAAGCGTCACCTGGTGAGTTCCTGGGACAGCAGGATGATGCTGACGCGGGATACGATGACCAGTGCGAGCAGCACGAACAGGCGACGCAGAACGAGACTCAGGCGACACATGACAATACTCAGGCTCACGACGCTCCGTAAGACCTCCTGTCGGACCAGTGTAGGGAGAATGACCAGGGAGGGGCGAGGCAGGCTGTAACTGTAACTGCCACTGGACAGGTTGAGGACACTCTAAGGAGGGAGCAGGACTAGGAGGAGGAGGTTGACCAAGAACCTGCTGAAGGAGCGGAACGAAGTATGGCCGCGGCCGTGAAGCGCCCCCAGAACCAGCAAAGACAGCACCAGAACCCCCACCAGCAGCTCCAACTCCTGTAGCACTACCAGTAGCTCCAGCAGCGCCAACCCCAGTACCCCCAGTAGTACCAGCTCCAGCCGCACCGTCGGCTCCAGCACCTGCAGGACCAACCCCAGGGTCAGCAGCTACACCAACTTCAGTAGGCCCAGCGTGCTCAACTCCACCGGCAGCTCCAGCAGCGCCAACACCTGTAGCTCCAACTCCAGCACCAGTAGCTCCTCCAGTAGCACCAGCTCTAGCAGCTCCAGCTCCAGCAGAACCACCAGTCCCAGCAACTCCAGTACCGCCTGTACGAGCACCTCCAGGACCTGAGGCTCCAGGACCTCCAGCAGCACCAGGGCCTCCAGCGGGCGGCACCCCAGTGCCAGGGGCGCCGCTCCGGAGGCTGCAGCGCCGAGCATACCACTCACGCAGTTGCTGTGGGGAGGGAGGCGACGGCTGCGACCCAGCACCCGTAGCATCACCTGCTCCAACTCTAGCAGAAACCCCAGCTCCAGCAGCCCCACGCCGGAGGCAGTCACGCTGAGAGTACCACTCACGCAGCTGCTGTGAAGTGGGAGCGTCACTAGGCGCAGCACCCCCAGGCTCAGCACCCCCAGGCTCAGCACTCCCAGGCTCAGCACCCCCAGGCTCAGCACCCCCAGGCTCAGCACCCCCAGGCTCAGTACCCCCAGGCTCAGCACCCCCAGGCTCAGCACCCCCAAGCTCAGCACCCCCAGGCTCAGCACCCCCAGGCTCAGTACCCCCGGGCTCAGTACCCCTCGCAGGACCAGAGTCGACAGCTACCTCTACCGGCTCGACCGGATCTACCTGGGAAACACCTGAGGGAGCAGGACCCTGGGGAGGGAGGGGGTCTACTGAAGCAGCACCTGGCGTGAGGAAGAGCGGAGGGGGGGGGGGGGGGGGGAACGGCGTAGTGCGGTAGGGGAACAGACGGTAAAAGGGTACGGACTCGTCAAAAGTGACGTCCTGAGAGGGGAAGACATGGCGCGAGGTGGGGTGGTAAAACTGCCAGCAAGGCGCTTCAGGGACAAAGCCAAGAAAGACACAGGGAACGGCACGGGAGGAGAGCTTGTCCGCTGATGTATCGCGGACAAAGGCTCAACATCCCCAGACTCGGAACACCGACGCATCCCCAACCTTCCCCGTCCAACGCAGTGTGGGCGAGGTCTTCGGAGCCGAGACCTAGGGCCAGAGGTTGAGCTGACGCGCAGCGTACTGCACTGCAATCGGCCACAGGAAACTGGGGGCAGCTGTATGGATTATGGAGTTATGAGCGACCTCCATGACTAAGCCAATGCGGCGCTGAGCAATCCCATTCTGTTGTGGAGAGGCCGGCAGTGTAAAAGTCTGGCGTATGCCGTGCTCCGCATAGTAGGCAGCCAAGAGGTCGGAGGAAAACTCACCTCCCCTGTCAGAGTGCAGACGCAAGACTTGAAATTCCGACTGGAACCGGTCGCGGAGCTGGAGACGAGCAGCGCGGATCCAAGGGATCAAAACATTAGGGACCTCACCCTTGGTGCGCAAGGGGAAGACCGTGGTGTAGCGCGTGTAATCGTCGACGACCAGCAGGAAGTACCGCTCGCGGCCCTGTCCACGGACGCGGGCTAGGCCCCACACGTCGAGGTGGAGAGTCTGCAGAGGAGCCTCTGTGGGAGGGAACGAGGAGGAGTGAGGAGTGGCGCGCTGCTGCCCCTCGACACAGGGAAGACAGGGAGGAGCAGGCGAGGGTGGGAGAGGAGGGAGAACCCTGGGAAGACTAGAGACAAGGTACCGGGAGTGCATGCCACGAAGGCGCTGTACTAAAGGGTGACCAAGGCGGTGGTGCCAGAGGACGGTCTGGTGCGACAGGGTGCGACACGAGCAGGGGGCTGACAGCTGACGTGATGTAGACGCAGATGCAGCTACCTGAGGGGACTGAGTGGTCAGTGTGTACAGGTCCGACCCCGGCTGCCGAGTAAAGGTAGCCAAGTGGCGACCCGTCCGAGCACACGTACAGCGGGTCACACGCTCATAGGCAGGGGTGAACTGGTGAACACCCCCGTCCTGGAGAGCAGAGCCCGCCACCAAGTTCGTAGAGAACGAGGGGAGGTAAAGACTTGACAGGGTGACGGCCGGAACTGCCGGACAAGGAAGGACAGTGGAGGAGGTCGCAAGGACTGGACCCCCAGAGGGGTCAGTTTGAGAGACAGCAACTGGTCGAGCTAGCTGCTCAAGGACAGTGCAGTCACGAAAGAAGCAGCGAGAAGCACCCGAGTCCAGTGTGAAGGTGTGCAATGCCTTAGTAGACGCAGTACCAGCAGGCGCAGACTCACAAGTACTTGGAGCAGCAGCCTCACCAGGACGTAGGGCAGCAGACGCACTAGCACCTAGAGCGGCAGTCTCACTGGTCCCTATACCTGGGTCGGGCGGTACACTCAGGTAGCAGTCACCCTCAACACTAATAGTCAATGCATACATAGCACCAAGAATAGCATCATAATCAAGAGCAAAGATATCAATTCCCTTCTTAAGCAGATCAGCCCAGCTGGGCAACTCAGCGGCATCAGGGAACTGCTCGCGCCAGGCGTCGTCGAGTCGAAAGAAGCAGCGCTGCGCCGTGTGGAACCTCCCACAGGTCTGGCCAGTGCAGTCACCTGTGCGGATGACGTACGGGCAGGTACCTCCACCCCCAGATACCCCACGCTGAAAGTACCACTCACGGAGCTACTGAGGCGAAGGGGTCTCGCCGGGACGCTACTGCTGCTGCCTCTGGCCACCGCCGAACCCCCCACGCTGCACTGCTCCGCCGCGCTCGCCACCTGCTCCACCGCCGCCACCACTGCCACCACCACCCCCGCCACCTCCGCCGCCTCCACCCCCTGCCCCGCCACTGACCCCCCCACCACCAGCGCCACTCCCACCACCGCCACCACCCCCGCCCTCTCCACCCCCTCCACTGCCGCCGCCCCTGCCGCCACCTCCGCCACCCCTGCCCCCCTTGCCCCTGCCGCCCTTGCGCCTCCCACTGGGAGCAGACGCAGCCCCGACCCCCTCAGCACCGAGGTAGTCGACAGCAGGAGCATATGCAATGGAGGGGAGGAGAGGGGAGGGGGAGGGTCGCCACGAGAGGCACCTACAGCTACAATGCTCTTCTCAGCTGCGAGGAGTTCCTTCTCGAGCAGGTCAACAGTGAGGTCAGTAGGGGAGAGGGCGAGAAAGTGGTTTTTGACAGTGCGAAGGGAGTCAGGGAGGCGGGTGACTAGGTGATAGAGTGTGAGGTACATTGGGGGAGGATTCTTGGCTAGGAAATCGGGGGGAAGCGCGGCACGGTAGCGAAGATCACTAGTACGAAGGTGCGTGATGAGGTCGGCTACAGTGGCAAAGGCAGACAGATCGGGGAAGAGATAGGGCAGTGAGAGACGGCCTATCGCAGCAGTGGCAGGGGAGGAGTAGCGTGCAACTACAGCGTCGTACAGCTCCTTAGCGGTCTTATGCTCGCCAAAGTGCTCGCGCTCATCTAGTGGTAGGTGGCTGCAAACGGCTAGGCGAACATAAGCGTCTCGGGTCTGCCACTGTGAATGAGCAGTCCTGTCAGCAGTAGCAGCAGGTGCGGGAGCGGCGCCGTGTGGTCAAAAAGGGAAACATCGTCCTTGGCAGTGATCTAGAGGAACAGGTGTAGGTCATCGAGCCAAACGTCAAACTTAATCGGACGGCCCTCAGAGTCAAACGTGAGAACGGTAGGACTAGCCATAGTGGCAGTAGCAGTAGCAGTAGTAACAGTAGCAGCAGTAGTAGTAGCAGAAGTAACAGAAGGAGTAGCAGTAGCAGTAGGAGCAGTAAAAGCAGTTGCTGCAGGTGGGGCGGCGCGGCTCGGTCAGGGCGGCGCGACTCGGGCGGCGCGGCTCGGGTACGTAGGGCGGCGCGGCGGCGGGCCTATGCTCGGTGCGCAGCGGCGCCTCGGATGCGGCCGCGCGCGGGTCGCGGCTGCGTTCGTGCGGCGGCTAAGCGCTAGCTGCAGCAGCCGATGCGCGATCGCCGCTGCGCGCTGGCTGCGACCTGCGGGCGGGCGGCTGTGAGTCGCGCGTCGGCCTAGGGGTGAGCGGGGCCTACGGGCGACGGCCTGCTGGGGCTCGCGAGAAAACAATTGGGCCGCCCTAGGCGGCGACTTTCCTACGCGCGCTAAAATGGCGGGGCCGCGCTCGGGCTGCTAGCGGGCTGCAAACGGACAGCGTGAGAAGAGAGCGCACGAGGGCGCACTAGGAGAGAGAGGCGCACGAGGGCACTATAAAAAGGGCGCACGAGGGCACCTCTAGCGGAACGGTGGGCCCTTAGGTCTAGAACCTAAGCTCTTAATACCATGTCAGAAACAAGAAGTGATTGAACTAGGAACATTGGTGGTACAAGTAGGAAACCCTAGAGTAGTGTACCCCCTAAAGGCTAACCCACTATAGCCTACACAGCAATAACATATATAATGTTTGACAGCGCTCCCCTCCCCGAAACAGTTACCACTGCCGATGTCTTTGCACTCATATAATGTATAAGATATCAAAAAAAAAAAAAAGCACGGTCGACTATCGCTAGCCTCCTGGCAATTGACCCCATCAAGAAAAAGCCCCTGGGAAACTCCGGAAAATCATGTACACTTTGTGAGCTGCTCAAGGATTTGCTGGATCTCGCGATGTTGCCATGTGGCTGTTTATCTGTTAATCAATTTAGCCTGGTGAACATTCATGTATGTAAGGAAAATTCCTTTTCCCTTACTCTGCACCCGTGCTTAGCGCGTACACCACTGTTCTCGCCACAATGTGCACCGTTACCACTCGCGACACTTGTGAGAATAATAACGAGGAATGAATTGCATTGAGCAGCATGAGGAGTACAAGTAGGAAACCCTAACACTACTGTACCCCATAAAGAGTGTCCCACTACAGCCTACAATATAGTTCTGACAACATTCGCCTTGACCACTTTCCCGCCACTACACCCGTCGCAACCCGACCTCACGGCTTGATTGGTAACTCGCGCTCCAGGCCTCTGCTTTGACAACCCCCGACCTCAGTCCTAACCTCAGTCACAGGCCCGTCGCGCATCTCCCACAGTTCGTTACCATTACCATTGTGGCTTTCGCTATATGATTCTCGCTCATGCCTCATTCAATGTATTGTTTTGCATCGATAGTGCAATCTCGTTCGCTCACTCGATTGCGCTCGTAACACTTGGTATTCAGAGCCTACAATCTCTTCTCGGACCGCACCCACATCTTCATTTTCCCCACTATCTAATTTTTTTTTTTTGGGGGTGGACGTCTCTTTGCGCCCAAACACCGCCGCTCGCAGTGCTCTCTCGTAAGCACGCACGGCCACGACTGAGGCTCTCGCTGAGCTCACAAACACCCCTGCCATGGCTGAATTTAATATCTCAACATTGACACAGGAGCGCCTCGACGAACTCGTCCGCCAACTCGAAGAATCTGCACTCGAAATCGCGACGCTCATGGCGGAACGAGACTCCGCCCGACAAAAATCAACGATGAATGCACCAACGCCAACACCGACACCTGCGAATGCACCTGCGCAGCCGGATGAGATGATTGTCAGCTCATCCGGCACACCGTCACGTCACGACAGCGTGGGACAACATTCAGGCGTAGCCAGTGATGGCGCCGCCCAATCAATGCCTGGCATAGAGAGAACTAGGGCCGTCCCAACCGTGAATGCGCCTCACGAAGCCCATCGTCACGTCGGATTTGCGGCATCTACGGGAAACGACGACATCAGCGAGCCGATGCCACTCAAACCGCAACGCCCCCCGTGTTTCGAGCCTAGACAACGAGGAGGTCCGATGGTTCAATCGTGGGTCTTCACGATGAACTTGTTTTTTTACGACAATTACGTCACAAAGGATGCAGTGAAGATCAGATATGCGGTTTCGCTGCTATGGGGCCCTGCCATGGACAGGTGGCGAGTTATCGTAACGTCACCGCACGCCTACGAACCACCGTCACAAGAGGATGAGCCCACGGGGCCAGCCGTTACATGGAGTCCGTTCTGCGAAACCACTCAGTACAGCACGTGGGATGCGTGGTGCGCAGGGCTTCGGGCGCGCTTCAAACCGATCGCGGCTTCAATTTCGGTGCGTCAGGAACTACGCACTTGGCGGCAGCTCGGGTCGGTCCAAGATGACGCCAGCGGTTTTCTCCCCCTGTGCGAGCAAGTCAATTACATGCACGAGGTGGAGCGGGTGGACCGTTACGTTGGCAGACTGAAGCCAGACATCTCACACGAAATCATGCTTTGCGGGCTATCCAAATTTAACGAAATCCTAGCGCTCGCCGAAAAAATCGACATTTTGCATCGTTCGAGACCGGGGTCCTACTACGGACATCGTCCTCAAGGGCCGACCGAGCACGCCACTATACATATTGTTGTGGTGAACGCAGCTGCTGTGCCATTCAAGGGGCGTTGATTTGCTTACAATAGGCCGGGCTATCACAAGAGCGAATGCCCAGAAGAACTAAGGCGCCGAGGAGCAGAGCAATGGAGGGAGTCTCAGAGGTAGGAAAACGCCAGCACTCACTAGAGAACGGGCCCACTACTGACGCGACTAACTGCTCGCCCAACCTGAACCGACCCTTACCGAGTCAAAGTACTGATTCATGCTAACGATCGGGCTCGGATGAATAAGGTGGGTACAGCGGTGGAATGCCCAATATTGATTTACGGGAAAGTACAGGGAGCAACAGTGAAGATTATTATTGGCGGAGGGGCAAGCCACGGCTTAGTTAACACCGTGATGGCACGGAAACTACAACTGACACTTAGCCACTACTTACTAGAGATAGACGCACGTTTAGTTGACGGCACGCCACTGGCTATACGGGAAAAAGTGGAGAGGGTAAAAGTCCGCTGCGGTGGGAACTTTGGGTTTACACAAGAAATGCTCGCGACGACATTCGATGGGCACGACATTTTACTGGGACATGATTGGCTGCGACGCTACAACCCGCGAATCGACTGGACGACGGGCAACTGCACTGTGCGAAGCAGTGGTGAATGGGTGGAACTACCTCGCTGGCAGTCGCCTGTATCATCAACGGTCCACGTCAACGCCATCACAATGAAACGGGTTGTCGCTGCTAGAGCTGACGTGTATGCAGTGGACATCGCGGTGATAGGAGAAGCAGAGGCGCTGAGCAATTCTTTAGAAACTGTTTAAAGCCATACCACCTGAACTACAGGAAGTATTGAAACGATACCTAGGGATTTTTCCCGATAACTTACCAAAGGGACTGCCACCTCAGCGCGCACACGACCACCGCATAGAATTAGAGCCGGGGGCACAGCCATCAAAAGTCGGTTGGAAACACTGCCCATATGCACAAGCAAGATATGCTTGTGACACTTTCCATTGTTGATGTAACCAGAAATCGTAGTGGATAGGATAAGTTAGCCAAGTTTAGAGAAAACTAGTGAAGTCTTTGTTATGACCTTGTTGATAGAAATCAAGAGGATATAAGATGATTTTTAAGATAGAAGTACGAGGATATAAATAGTGATCTAGCTAGCCATGTACTTCAAGGGGTACATTCCCTTATTAGCTGTATTGCATTGCTACATTAACCGTAACTATTGCTATACTCGACGATTACCTGTGTTGCATCGTGTAACCTCCGAGTACGATTATTGGGTGGTCAACGATCACGACCGTTGACTATCTACGACTGTTGACCTTCGAGTGACTCTGAAGCTGCCGCGTGCTTTATACGGGCTTACACGATACTGGTACAGGTGCACTGCTTCGTTATGAAGCGATGCGCTAAGTGAAATATTCGGGAATGTTATCATAACCATCGATTATTCCAGCACTCCCCTTCATTCCTGAAGGTGAGCCACGTGGGATTTTTTCAAGATCTCGCAAAGGTTGGTGCAGTGCTGAAACTTCTGACGAGGCAGCTTTTTTGTAAAACAATCTGCTGCCATGTCACCAGTTGGGCAGTAGGTGAGTTTGACTTTGCCCTTGTCGATCTCGTCCTTGACGAAGAAGTAACAGAGTGCGATGTGCTTCGTGCGATTTACGAAACCAGATTTGTTCACGATTTTAATCCCGCTCTGATTGTCGTAGAGTAACATGAAGTGCCCGTTCATCGTCACTTTTGCTTCCTATAGGAGCTCATTTAGGTACAACCCTTCGCGAATAGCTACGCTGGCGGCGATGAACTCAGCTTTGGCTGACGAAAGAGCGACGAGCTCCTACTTTTGGGAGTTCCAGGAGATGATTCCAGCAGTTTGACTTTGAAAAATGAAACTTTTGCGGGAGCATCTGTTGTCAGCATCTCTCGCATGGTCCGCGTTTATGTAGTCGTGAAGCTCTAGGGCCCTGTTAGGTTAGCCGCGTAGATGAGCCCGGCGTCGGGAGTAGAGATGAAGCATTGAAGTGCTCGGCATAGGTCTCGCAGATTCTCCCCTTTAGGTCGGCGCAGATACTGTGCAAGCTAGCTTGCGACGTAGGAGAGATCCGGCCGGCACGTGATGGCGGCAAACAGCAGGCACCCCAGTTGCTGCTGATAAAGGCGATGATTCTTGGTAGATAGCGGTGTGGTGTTGGGTTCATAGTTAGGAGGAGTGCAAAAGGGTATGGTGAGGTTGATCGGGGCGATTGCGAATTTCTTCGCGAGTGTCTCCGCGTACTTGGCGGTGAGATGGATGGAGGTGGCGGATTGAGTGATGTTGAGACCCAAGAATTGTATGACATTGTGGTTGATAATCACCTCTAACTTCTCCTTGATCTCCTCCTCGAACCAATTGATTAGCTCCGTATTGTCACCGGTATAGAGCAATTCATCGACGTAGGCGACAAGGAGAATGAAGTACCCGCGTGACTCCTTCCGGTACATGACTTGGTCGTGAGGCTATTGAATAAAACCGAGCTCGATGAGGACGGTATGCAGGTACTGTCAAACTATCATAAAGCTTATATTGTGTAGCCTGTAGTAGGGTCGCCCATAAGGGGTACAACCCAATCACAGTTAGTACTTGTACTCAGTTTGATCTCAATGCAATCATTCCCGTTCAGTATTCCGACATGGTTTCAGAGCAGAACCTGTTCCAGGACCGTTTTTTTCTTAGGGCCCACCATATAGTCCCCTGCCTGTAGCGCGTTACCCTGCTCGTAGCGCCCTACCCTGCCCGTCGTTCTACCGCCACCATCGTCTCTGCCACCACCTGACTCAGTGCTTCACCAGGTTCGTAGTCTCCCGTCTTCTACTGGCCTTGCTGATGGAAAGCGAGTGAATCTGGAGAGCGTACAAGAGATTAAGTCCGCCGACTTCGACGGAACATTGCGTGCAGCTCACGTAACCTTAAACTATGAGCAGGTACGCGTTAGAAAGGTCTTAACCTCTACTTTCTAGAATAGTAACGCACGCTTTCAACAAAGATCTAGGCCGATCGCTATCGCGATCTAAGTGCGACGGTGTATCCTGGTGGAATTACTAGGCAGCCATGGATTAGTTCAAGAAAGTAGCTTTAGCAAGAGTTCAGATCTGAAAAAGTGACGAGTTGTTCAAACCCTACCAACCCAACCCTCGCCCTACAACAATCCCCAACAACCCACAGTGCTAAACTAGCAACACCAAAGCTGTTGTAGTGAATAGCAAAGGTTTGTTGGTGCTTGTTGGGTGCGAGATCAATTCCAGCCCGCAACAAGTCTAACCACCACATTTTGCCCAAACCCTTAGCCCACAACCAGCTAGAGCAAAATACCACAACCACCTACACAATCAACACTTACTCCTCCCTTACTGTGTCCACCGCCTGACCAGTCGTAGCCGTAGTTATAGCCGGACTCCCCGTTGCCTGCTCCTTCTCCTTACACTGAGCATACAGACTCTCTTATAGAGCGTCGTGAGCCTGAGTCTCGTCGTGCCTCGCCTGTTTGCGCTGTTTGCACTGGTCGTGGTGTTCCTCGTCCGTGTCCTCCTCCAGTCCCCGGCACTCACACTATGGCACTTCGTCCTTCCGCCTACACTGCATTGGATGGGGGGGGTGTTGAGAACAGTAGCTAGAACGCATGAGCCATAGGGTTTAGGGTGTGTGTACGGGATATTTGGGACACTGGGGGAGGTCGAAGGGGGGTGGCCGCCGTGAAGCCAGCAGCTCTAGTCGCCCGTGAGACCGTTGCGCCAGTCGCCCGTGAGCCCGTTGCTCTAGTCGCCCATGAGCCCGTTGCTCCAGTCGCCCATGAGTCAGTTGCTCCTCCTGCTCATCTATCCGCGGAGCCAGTTACTCCAGTTGCATGTGTGCCAGTTGCTCCAGTTGCCAGTGTGCCAGTTGCTCCAGTTGCCCGAGTGCCAGTTGCTCGAGTTGCGTCGTGTGCCAGCAGCTTCAGCTGCCGCCCACCACTTCCTCTCTTCTCATAGTCCCTCCTCCTCCTCACTTGCCCTTTGTGCTAGCCTTTAGCTTTGCTTATATTTGTGAACTATGAACTGCTGCTTGTTGTGCTGATCATCCCCCACTTTGTCTATGGGGGTGTGTAAGAATGTGTTATCTGTCTAGTCTGCAGTGGGGTACTCTATAGTGAGTACATCCCGATTAGGGTTTGCTATATGTACTGCCCTGCTTACTAGTGCATGCCCTCTTCTGCTGTTCATTCTAGTTTCCTACTTTTTGACAGGGGGTTGGCGATGCGTCGGTGTTCCGGGTCTGGGGCTCTCGTGCCTTTGTCCGCGATACCTCTGCGAACAAGTTCGCCATTCCCTGTATCTTCCTTGGCTTTCCCACTGTCGCACCTGGCGGGTTTTTTTTTTTATCTTTACGCAATTCGCGCTTGATACACATTTTAATGGGTTGAGTATTCAATGTTTTTTTTTCTATTCTTAGGTAGCACCTCAACATTATAGTGTATATTTGAGTTCGGTAATTGCATTCTGTTTCTGTCACATTTCGATGGTGTTATTAGCGTAAAAAGTGTGATTGAAAGGCGAGCACCAATCAGAGATGAGAAATCAAGGTTGAGTACCGATGTAAAACGTCTCTAGCATAATTTGAGTATCAACGAAGTTGGCCGTTGAGTTCTGTAAGGAAAATTCCTTTTCCTTACTTCGCGTCCCTGCTCAGCGCGTACACCACTATTCTCACCAACAGCACCCAACAGAAATCCGTTACCACTCTCAACACTCGCCTCGACACTGTTCCCGCCATTGTTCACGACGCGACCCAACCTCACAATTCGGTTGGTAACCCGCACTTCGGACCTCCGGCTCGACATTTCCCAACCTCGGCGCTAGTCCCGTCGTGCACCCCATTTTCCACACATTACTGTTCCCACTATAGTTTCGTTATATATTCTTCGCTCATGCCTTCGCTCATTGTACTCTTGCTTCGATAGTGCAATCCTCGTTCGCTCACTCAATAGTACTCGTAACACTTGGTATTCAGAGCCTACGATCTCTTCTTGGACCGCACCCACACCTTCGCTTCCCCACTATCTCAATTTTGTGAGAATGAGAACGAGAGAATGGTGTGAACTATGAATGAAGCGAGTACAAATATGAAACCCTAGTTGGGTTGTACCCCCTATGGGATACCCCACTATAGCCTACACAATAGCAGAAACTATAATGTTCTGACACACCCCCATAGGCAAAGTGGGGAAGAACAAGGGGTCACAAGACCTGTCAAGCAAAGCAAAGCAAAGCTCACGGTGGATCACAAAGTCACCACACATTCCGAGCACAAGTTCAAAGGCCAAAAGGCCATTTCACATGTAAGAGCACATATATATATATATATATATATATACGAGGCTAAGCAAGCAAGCGCAGGAGTATATATATGTGACAGTACAAGAAAGGTCAAGAAGTGAGCAAGTGAGGCAAGACAGGCACAAGACCCAGCTGAGTGCAGAAGCGCTGATGATCACAAGGCGCAAGTGCCTCGGTGAAAACATCAACAGTGTTGGCCTCAGAGGCCACGTACGCAAGCCGCAACTGTCCACGCTGCTGTAGCTCACGAGCAAGAAAGTAACGGAGAGCAATGTGCTTTGTCCTGTGCTCCAGTCGCTGCTCTCCACACAAGGCCAGCATGGCCTTGTTGTCTACGTACAGGACTGGAGGAGAACGAGGCGGCTCTCCAAGGTCGGTCAGCAGGTAGGTGAGCCAGCGAAGCTCCTGAGCAGCCATAGCCCCGGCGTAGATCTCAGCCTCACAACTGGAGCCGAGAACAGAAGACGAGCGGGTAGCCCGCCACGAAACAGAGCCGGAAGCAAGACTGAAGGTGTAACCCTGTGACGACCGCTGTGTAGCCTGGTCGTCAGCCCTAGAAGCGTCTGCGTGCCCAGTGAGGACCACTGGACTCCGCCCTCCAAGCACTAGCCCCTTGCGCGACGTACTACACAAGTAGCGCAACACCCTCTTCGCTGCAACCATGTGCTCTGGTCGGTGTCTCCCAAGAGCAACATAGCGTGCAAGAATGCTAAGAGGGTATGCAAGGTCAGGTCGTGTGCAGGTCATCAGGTACATGAGGCAGCCAACAAGCTCTGGATACGGGCCACTCGACTCTACGGACTCATCCGAAGGCAGAGCTGAGAGTGAGTGGCGAGTAGGGAGAGGAGTGGCCTGAGGCGAGGAGTACGTGAAGCCGAAGCGCTGAAGGACCTGCTGCACCATGTGTGACTGAGTCAGGGTAATGGTGCGGCGTGCTCTGTCCCGGGTGATCTGCAAGCCAGGGTAGCTGCGCAGTTCACCCAGGTCTGTGCACGTGTGTCGCTTCTGCAGCTCGGACTTCACGTAGGCGAGTCCAGCAGTGTCAGCTGTGGCAAAGACCAAGTCGTCGACGTACACGAGGATGTAGAACGGCGGCAGAGAGGTGTCGGTGCGCAGAAACAGCGACGGGTCGGCAGTAGAAGGAGCAAACCCAAGAGCCGCAAGCGTAGTCCTCAGTGTGTCGTGCCACTCACGTGGCGCCTGGCGGAGACCATAGACTGGACGCCGGAGACTCCACTGGGTACCAGGAGGGAAAGACCCAGTGAAGCCAGGTGGGCGGCGCAGCGAGATCTCCTCGTGCAGGCTGCCCTGCAAGAAAGCTGTGCTGAAGTCGAGAGAGTGGAGCTCGTAGTCACGGTGAGCAGCAATGTGCAGTAGTACCCGAAGAGTGGTCATCTTCGGGGTGGGGGAGAAGGTCTGAAAGAAGTCAACTCCCTGCCGCTGAGTGAAGCCACGAGCCACGTAACGTGCCTTGAAGACAGGCGGAGAACCCGGCGGCCGCTTCACCCTGAAGATCCACATGCCACTGACGATGTTCGCCCCAGGAGGGGGGACAGCGTCAACGTAGGTGCCTGTGGACTTCCAGGAAGCCATCTCTGCATCCATAGCTGCCTGCCACTGAGAGGAGTAGGGACCCTCTCTCGCCTCCGCGTAAGAGCGCGAAGTCGAGATGTCAAGTGCATCCGGGTCTCCCTCAGGGGTAAGAAGTACGGACACGAGATGAGGTGAAGCAGCTGCCAGAAACAGGAACTCCTCCTGCCTGTCTTCAAGGACGTCCGTGCCAAGGGCACACTCACCCCCGACGGACGGAGGACAGACAGACTGAGACTCAGCGACAAGATTAGCAGCGTAGTCTAAGCGACAGAGAGCAGCAAAGTCGACGAGCTCAGTAATGAGAGCAGACGCAGCAGTAGACTCGAAAGAAGGGTCAGTGTCAATAGTAGCAAGGAGACACGTGACAGTAGGACTGGCAGCACGAAGAGAGTCCGACTCAGGGTCGGCAAGTGCAGGAAGAGAGGACTCAGGAGGGGAAGGCAAAAGGGCACGCAGAGGAGCAGTAGACGGACGCAGAGACATCCGGTGCGTGCCAGGGACAGGAGGAGGACGCTGGCGCAAACCGCGACCATTAGCGCGAGCAGCTCTAAGAGGCGACGCAGGACGAGACGCAGGCTCACGACGCTTAGTAAGACCTCCAGTAGGACCAGCGTAGGGAGAAGGAGGAGGCAGACGGGAGGCAGGCTGTAGTTGTGACTGTGACGGGACAGGCTGTGGACACTCTAAGGGAGGAGGAGGACCAGTAGAAGGAGGAAGACCAAGAACCTGCTGCAGGAGTGGAACAAAGTATGGTCCAGGCCGCGTGACGACGCCAGAAGCAGTACGGACAGCACCAGTACCCTCAGTAGGAGCACCCGCTCCAGCAGCACCTCTAGCAGCACCAGGAGCACCCCCAGTAGGACCGCAAGCGGTAGTCTCAGCGCCAACTCCCTCAGCAGCACCAGCTCCAGTCGAACCCGTAGGCCCAGCAGCTCCAATACTCCCAGTACGAGCACCTCCGGGAACCGCGACCGCAGCACCCTCAGCAGCCCAAGAACCTCCAGCACCAGCAGTACGGCGCCAGCGCCGGGCAAACCACTCGCGCAGCTCCTGAGGAGAGAGTGGCTCCCAGCGAGAAGAAGCACCCGGAGAACCTCCAGGCGGAGCACCTCCACTCTCAGCACCCCCAGGCGTAGCACCTCCAGGCTCAGCACCCCCAGGCGTAGCACCTCCAGGCTCAGCACCCCCAGGCGTAGCACCCCCAAGCTCAGCACCCCCAGGCTCAGCACCCCCAGGCTCAGTACCCCCAGGCTCAGCACCCCCAGACTCCGCACCCCCAGGTCCAGCACCCCCAGGCTCAGCACCCCCAGCAGCACCAGAGTCACCAGTGACCTCGACACGCTCGACTGCGTCTACCTGGGACACACCTTAAGGGGGAGGACCCTGAGGGGGGAGGGAGTCTACCTGGGGGGGACCTGGTAGAAGGAAGAGCGGGGGTGGGGGGAGGGACGGAGTGCGGTAGGGGAAGAGGCGGTAGTAGGGGACCGACTCGTCAAACGTGACGTCCTGGGAGGACAGAACACGTCGAGAGGTGGGGTGGTAGAACTGCCACCCAGGTGCGTCAGGGGGGAACCCCAGGAAGACGCAAGGAGCAGCATGAGGGGACAGCTTGTCCGCAGACAAGTCGCGGACAAACGCCCGAGAACCCCAGACCCGGAACGCCGACGCATCGCCAACCTTCCCCGTCCACAGTAAGGCTGGGGAGGTCTCCGGCCTGGAGACCCTGGGGTGGAGGTTGATCTGATGCGCCGCGTACCTGACCGCAAACGGCCACAGAAAATGGGGGGCAGCCGCATGCATCATAGACGTACGAGCGACGTCCATGACCATGCCAATGCGGCGCTCAGCAATCCCATTTTGCTGCGGTGAGTCCGGAAGCGTGAAGGTCTGACGGATGCCTCGTGCGCGACAGTAGGCTCGCAGTAGGCCAGAGGAAAACTCTCCGCCTCTGTCCGAGTGCAGACGCAGAACAGGGAACTCCGAGCCAAAGCTCCGCCTGAGCTGGAGACGAGCCGCGCGGATCCAGTCGATCAGCACCTCAGTGACATCACCCTTGCTGCGCAAGGGGAAGACCGTGGTGTAACGCGAGTAGTCGTCAACAACGAGCAGGAAGTAGTGCTCGTGACCCTGTCCACGGACGCGGGCTGGGCCCCACACGTCCATGTGAAGCGTCTGCAACGGGGCCTCTGTCGGAGGAAACTGGGAGGAGTGAGGGGCAGCCCGCTGGCGCCCCTCGACACAGGTGACACAAGTCGGGCCAGAGCCCTGAGGAAGGGGAGGGAGGGACCGGGGGAGACCAGACACAAGAAGACGGGAGGCCATGCCTCTGAGCCGAAGCAGAGAGGGGTGACCAAGACGGTGGTGCCAGAGGAGAGTCTCATGAGACAAGAGACGACACGAACAGGGGGCAGACTCAGGACCAGACCTAGACGCTGCAGCAAACACCTGACCGGACGAAGCGACTCTACCAGACGCAGTGGTCAGTGTGTACAGGCTCGACCCCGGCTGACGGGTAAACGTAGCCAGGTGTCGGCCTGTGCTAGCCTCTGTACAGTGCGTCACCCGCTGATGCGCAGGAGTGAACTGGTGTACTCCCCAATCCTGTAGGTCAGCACCACTCACCAGGTTCGTCGAGAACGAGGGGAGGTACAGACCAGACAGGGTGCCAGAGGGAGCCGCCGGCCACGGGAGGACTGTGGAGAAGCGAGACAGTACACGACCCCCGGAGGGGTCAGCCAGAGACACCGCAACCGGGCGACTAAGCGGCGTGAGTGTGGTGCGGTCCCGAAAGAAGGAGCGAGACGCCCCAGAGTCAAGGGTGAAGGTGAGGGAGGCCAAAGCCGATGTAGTACCTGAGAGCGCAGACTCACCAGTACCTGAAGACGCAGACACACTAGCACCTAGAGCAGCAGCGTCGCAAGCACCTAGGGCAGCAGCCTCAATGCCCGGATCGGGCGGGAAACAGCGGTAGCAGTCACCCTCATCACTATGAGACACAGCATACATGGCAGAGAGAATAGCATCAAAGTCAAGATCAAAGATGGCAACACCCGCCCTAGACAGCTCGCCCCAGCGAGGAATCTCTGAGGCCTCCGGGAACTGGTGACGCCACGCGTCCGTCAGGCGGCCAAAGCAGCGCTGGGTGGGGTGCGGACCCCCACACTGCTCACCCGCACGGTCGCCGGTGCGCAGGACGTAGGTGCACGGACCAAAACCCCCACCCCGCTGGCGTGAAGTGTACCACTCACGGAGCTGCTGAGGGGACAGAGTCTCATGACCACGCTGCTGCTGCTGGCGCGCACCACTACTGGAGCCACTCCTCTGCGAAGGCCTGCGACCAGCTCCACCGCCACCCCCACCGCCTCCGCCGCCTCCGCTACTGCCGCCGCCTCCACCGCCGCCTCCACCGCCGCCTCCACCGCCGCCTCCTCCGCCACCTCCGCTCCCACCGCCATTGCCGCCGCCGCCTCCGCCTCCACCGCCGCCACCGACCCCCCCACCCCCACCTCCACTCCCACCGCCACCCCCACTACCCCCACCGCCTCCACCTCCACCTCCACCGCCCGCTCCTCCAGCTCCCTTGCCCCCCTTGCCCTTGCCAGGGCGGCGTCTCCCGCTAGGGGCAGACGCCGCACCCACCGACTCAAGACCAAGAAGGTCGGCCGTAGCAGCAGAGGCAATAGAGGGCAGCAGGGGGGAGGGGGAACACCCCTCAAAGATGGGGGTGCGCGGGTCACCTCGAGAGGCTCCTACAGTGACTCTACTCTTCTCCGCTGCTAAGAGTGCCTTCTCGAGGAGATCGACAGTGAGTGTGGTGGGACAGACTGAGATAAAGTGGTCCCTGACTACTCGAAGGGAGTCAGGGAGGCGAGTGACTAGGAAGTACAGAGTGATGTACATGGGGGGGGGGGTTCGCGGTGCAGAAGTCGGCAGGAAGTGCAGCGCGGTAGCGAGTGTCACTAGTGCGGAGGTGCGTAATGAGGTCAGCAACGGTGGGAAAGGCAGCAAGGTCAGGGAAGAGGTACGGCAGCATGAGACGGCTCACTGCAGCAGTGGAAGGGGAGGAGTAGCGCGCGACTACAGCGTCGTACAAGGTCTGAGCACTCTTGTACTGACTAAAGTGCGCACGCTTGGAGGTAGGGAGGTGGCGACGCACAGCAAGACGTGCAGCAGCATCGCGCGTGGCCCACTGGGAGCGAACAGTGTCGTCAGCATCAGCAGCAGGGGCAGGGGAAGCGCCAGAGGTGAGGTCAAAGAGAGAGAGGCCGTCCGCCCTATCGCACTGTAAGAACAGCTGTAGGTCATCTACCCATATCTCAAAGTCAATGGCCCGACCCTCAGCGTCAAAAGCGAGAACACTAGGGGTAGCCATGACAGTAGGAGACCAGCAGTGCAAGCAGTAGGGGAAGAGCACGCAGTGACAGAGGGTCTGTGCTCACCGGACAGGGCTGCTCGGGCGGCTCGGCTGCAGGGCGGCTCGGCAGCTGGGCGGCTCGGCGGCTGGGCGGCTCGGCAGCTGGGCGGCTCGGCGGCTGGGCGGTCGGCTGCACGGCGGATCGGCTGGTGGGCGGCCGGGCGGCTCGGCTGCAGCGCGGCTCGGCGGCGGGGCGGCTCGGCTACTCTGCTGCTGGGCGGCTCGGCTGCTTTGCTGCTGGGCGGCTCCGCTGGGCCGCTGAAATAGGGCGGAGGGGCCGCTGCAGAGGAGCGGCGGGGCCGCTGCAGAGAGGGCGGCGGGGCCGCTAGATAGGGCGGCGGGGCCGTTACAGAGAAGCGGCGGGGCCGCTGCAGAAGGACGGCGGGGCCGCTGGGTAGGGCGGCGGGGCCGCTGCAGAGGAGCGGCGGGGCCGTTGCAGAAGGGCGGCGGGGCCGCTGGGTAGGGCGGCGGGGCCGCGAGATAGGGCGGCGGGGCCGCGTGGTAGAGTGGCGGGGCCGCGAGGTAGGGCGGCGGGGCCGCGAGGTAGAGTGGCGGGGCCGCACGATGGGGCGGCGGGGCCGCGAGGAAGGGCGGCGGGGCCGCTAGGTAGGGCGGCGGGGCCGCGCGATGGGGCGGCGGGGCTGCGAGGAAGGGCGGCGGGGCTGCTAGGTAGGGCGGCGGGGCCGCGCGATGGGCGGCGGGGCCGCGATGGGGCGGCGGGGCTGCGCGATGGGGGGGGCGGGGCCGCGAGTAAGGGCGGCGGGGCCGCTAGGTAGGGCGGCGGGGCCGCGCAATGGGGCGGCGAGGCCGCTAGGTAGGGCGGCGGGGCCGCTAGGTAGGGCGGCGGGGCCGCTAGGGCGGCTCGACGCGACCGTAAGGGCGGCACGACGGGCCGCTAGAAAAAAAAAAAAGGGAGAGCGCGACTCGAGGCCCGCTTCGGTGAGCCCTAGGAACAGTCCCTAGGAGGGGACCTGCTCTGATTCCATGTGAGAATGAGAACGAGAGAATGGTGTGAACTATGAATGAAGCGAGTACAGATATGAAACCCTAGTTGGGTTGTACCCCCTATGGGATACCCCACTATAGCCTACACAATAGCATAAACTATAATGTTCTGACAAATTTTTGGGGGGGTAGACGTCTCTTAGCGAAACAAGCACGGCTGCTCGAAGTGCTCTCTCGTAAGCACGCACGGCCACGACAGAGGCTCTCACTGGGCTTGCCCGACACCCCCGCCATGGCTGAATTCACTCTCGCGACACTGACGCAGGAGCAACTCGACCGTCTCGTGCACCAAATTGAAGATTCGGCACTCGGAATTGCGGCCCTCACGGCGGAACACGACTCCGCTCGTCAACAATCCACAGTGAACGCTCCAGCACCACCACACGCACTTGCAAATGCACCTGCACAATCGGAGGAGCCGATTGTCATCTCATCAGGCACACCGACACAAAATGACAGCGTGGGACAGCGCTCAGGCACAGCCAGTGATGGCGCCGCTCAATCGATGCGTGGCATGGAGAGAAACAGGGCCGCACTAAGCCTGCGGGAGCCTCGCGAGGCCTGTCTGCACGTGGAGTTTGCAGCGATGAGTGGCAACCACTGTCAGAGGTCCACTGGTGATCCCCGATTGATCCTAGGGAAGGGTTACAGTCACCTTGGCCTGGGGGGTTATGGGCGCACTCACCCGCTACACGAACAAGCCCTTTTATCCCAGTGGTCTAGTGGCTGGGATTCTGACATGTTATCAGAGCAAAGGTCTCGGGTTCGAATCCCAGTGTGTGCACTTCGGGCATCCCAGTGCGGGGGAGTGTCAGAGGTCCACTGGTGATCCCCGATTGATCCTAGGGAAGGGTTACAGGCACGTTGGCCTGGGGGGTTATGGGCGCACTCACCCGCTACACGAACAAGCCCTTTTATCCCAATGGTCTAGTGGTTGGGATTCTGACAACCACGTCATCATGGCACCAATGCCACTCAAAACGCAGCGCTCGCCCTGCTTCGACCCGAGCCAGCGTGGAGGTCCGACGGTCCAATCGTGGGTCTTCATGATGAACGTGTTTTTCGACACAAACTACGTCGAGTTGGACACAGCAAAGATCCGATATGTCGTCTCGCTGCTGAGGGGCCCCGCCATGGACTGGTGGCGAGTCATCGTGACGTCGCCACGCGCCTATGAGCCACCGACGCAAGAGGAAGGGCCCACGGGTCCAGCCGTCACCTGGAGTTCATTTTGCGAAACCACCCAGTACAGCACGTGAGATGCTTGGTGCGCAGGGCTTCGGGCGCGCTTCGAGCCGATCGCGACTTCTATTTCGGTGCATCAGAGACTGCGTACTTGGTGCAGCTCTGGTCGGTTCAAGACTATACTAGTGGTTTTCTCGCATTATGTGAGCAAGTCGGCTACATGCACGAAGCGGAGCGGGTGGACCGTTACGTCGGAGGGCTGAAGCCGGACATCTCGCACGAGATCATGCTACGCGGACTCTCGAATTTCAATGAGATTCTTGCGCTCGCCGAGAAAACCGACATTCTGCGCCGTCCGAGACTGGGGTCCTATTATGGACATCGACCTCGGGGACCGACTGAGCACGCCACCGTACACGCCGTTGCGACGAATGCAGTTGCCGTGACGTTTAAAGGGCGCTGCTTTGTTTGCAATCGGCCGGACCATCGCAAGAGCGAATGCCCAGAGGAGCTGAGGCGCCGCATAGCAGAGTAGGGGAGGGAGTCTCAGACGCAGGAAAACTCCAGTAATCAGTAGAAGTTGGGCCAGCTACTGACGAGACTCCCTGCTCGCCCAACCGCACCGACCCTCACTGAGTCACAGTACCGATCCATGCCATCAATCGGGCTCGGACGAATTAGGAGGGTATAACGACGGATTGCCCAGTACTGATTCACAGGAAAATATAGGGAGCCGCAGTGAAGGATTTCATCGATGGAGGAGCAAGGCACAGTTTAGTTAATACCGCGATCGCACGGGAACTGCAACTGACACTTAGTTGTTTACCAGAGATAGATGCACGCTTAGTTGACGGCACACCGCTGGCCATACGAGAGAAGGTGGAGAGAGTAAATGTCCGCTGCGACGACATTGGATGGGCACGACATTTTACTAGGACGGGATTGGCTGCAACGGTATAACCCGCAAATCGACTGGACGACGGGGAGCTACACTGTACGAAGTAGTGGTAACTGGGTTGAACTACCTTGCTAGCAGTCACCTGAGTCTTCAACGGTCCACATTAACGCCATCACAATGAAACGGGCTGTCGCCGCTTGAGCTGACGTGTACGCAGTGGACATCGCAGTAGTAGGAGAAGCAGAGCAGCCGAGCGATTTTCAGAAACTACTGGCAGCGGTACCACCCGAACTGCAGGAACGATTCAAACGGTACCCGGGGATATTTCCCGACGACTTACCAGAAGGATTGCTAGCTCAGCGAGCACACGATCACTAAATAGAGTTAGAACCTGGGGCACAGCCAATCGTACAGCGACAGTTCCGACTGACAGAGCCCAAGCTCAACGAAGTGAGGAAGCAGTAAGATTGCTTTTTAGAGAAGAAATTTACTGTTCGCAGCACCGATACTGTTCACACCGAAAAAAGACGGAGGGTTCCGCATGTGCATAGATTACAGAGCACTGAACAAGGTAACAGTCAAGTCGCGATACCCCGTTCCCCGCGCTGACGAACTGATAGTCAGCATGGGTCTTTTCGAAAATAGATTTACGGGGCGATTACCATCAGATTTGGGTCGAACCATCCAACTGCGCCAAGACAACTTTTAGGACTAGGTACGGGTCATTCGAGTACACAGTGATGCCATTCGGGCTGACCAACGCACCGGCGGCATTTCAGATTGCGGAGATGACTCTATCAATGGGAGGTAGACTACGGGCTAGGCACGAGGTAGGAGGGATCTTTGCGTTCATTCCTTAGTCGTTCTCTAACACTTGTGCGTTCACAGGGCAAAACTGCAAGAGATTCACTAGCAAAATTTGAGAACAATGGTACAGAATGATAGCAACAACATTGGCATGCAAGACTATATCGGACCTAGCAAAGCTGCTGGTTGACTTCCAGTGCCGCACGGTCGACCGCGTGCCAGCAGAGCAATGTCGCGGCTTACCAACGTTGCAAGTCCAAGGTGTGCCAACGATGCAGCAAGTCGGCTGCACAGCGTTGCACCCGCAGGACAATGGTGCACCTGCTTCGCAGGTGTGCGCAGCTGGTTGGTGCACAACTCCTTGTCACGTGCACAGCGCAGACGCCCAGCTTGATTCCATGCTAGCGGCTGCGCCCACTAGCCACGTCGACCTCGGGATACCACCCTCGAGGTCAGCCTTGCAGAAACCACCCCTGCGACCTTCACACGCGTTGCCCGGGTATCCTACTCGACCGGGCAACCACGCCTGGTCGGCTAGCACCTCCTTCACGTGCCCGTCGACCACCCGGGTCGACGACCACCCGAAGTCGGCCTCACCAGGTCAACCTCTCCCCTGGTCGACCAGCTCCAGGTCAACCGGTAATCTTGTTGGCCGACCACCAAAGTCCGTTTCCCTAGGTCGGCGTCACCAAGTCGACGCCTCTGCTCCTCAACGCCCAGCTGCTCGGCAACCTGAGTCTCCCCTGTCGAGGTCGACGCCGGCCCCTTTCTCATCGTCCACCAGGTCAGGCCAACCACCTGGTCGACCACCCCAAAGTCGGTGCCCTGAAGTCGGCGCCAGTGCAATGGTCCCCGCGTAGGTCAACCACCTTGTCAACCAGCTCGCCCACTACTGCAGGTCGGATGCATTCCCCCGTACACCCGACCACAAGGTCGGCTCCGCCCAAGCGAGGACGCGGCCTAACACAAGTCCTGTTGACACTCCCCTGCCGCGTTCACGCTTGGGCCCCCAGCCCACACGGCAACACTGCTTCGAGAGTAGCCCGTCGGCGTGCACCCAACA